TTTTTTTTTTTTTTTTTTTTTTTTGGCAGATTCCGACTGCGCTCTTCAAGAGCTGTAGGAATCCGCAACAAAGGGGGGCAAGGGTTTATTATGGACATATTCAGGCAACTATGGCTTCCACGGGGAGGGGTCAAGTAAGCATGTTCACTTATCCGACCCCCCCCGTGGCTGGAGCACTTCATGAAGTGTTATTTGATATTGATACCCCACGAGCTGAACCAGATCTGATGAGAGGAGGTCCTTGCCAGAAGTTATAGCTCTTCCAGAGTATAACTCGACAGCAGAAGAGTTATGGTTCCAGCTTTCCGCTCGTGGAGGCAGAGCGTTTTCTGTTTGTTGGTTTCTACAAACTCTACATAAGGTGAGTTATCAGTCCTGAAGTATCTTCCCTGGCAGTTTGTCCAGATACATGTAGTGGAGCAAGGTCCATTCGAGATAGATGGAGAGAAGAATATAGCTTCGGCCCATTCTTGGGCTTGCACCTCGGATGGCTCTGACATCACGATTCCGAAATCCGAACCCATAACTTTCTCCACAGATGTGTCCACAGATGGCAGGGACGTTGCAGAAGGATATAATCTCAGCAGAGCCTCATCACAAGCATAGTGTTCCCCTCGTGGCTGAGGGTAAAAGGGCATCAGATGTTGCCAAAGGTAAGTGGTCCGTTGGACCACAAGATGACAAATTGGAGAAGGGGCCTACCCGACCCACATCGTAAGAAAAATGTGTGGCGGTTCTCCGCTGCTGATCTGCAAAGATCAGCGGCGGATATCCTCTGCCCGTTTTTCTTAAGAAATGGGGTCCTGGCCAAACTTTGCCGCTGATCTGCGACAATTGGAGGCCAAGATTGGCCACGTTTTGGACTTGAAAAATCCGGCCTGCAAGGGGAAATCCGGGCCTACAGGACCCGGTTTCGAAATTGCGGGGCAGGGCCCAACCCCACAAGGCCTCGGGTGCACATATGTGCCGGCAAAAAAAAAAAAATCAGGCCCCAGCGAAAATGCGCTGGKGGCAACCGGGAGAGAACCGGCCCGGGCCACCAGGAGGACCACGGATGGGGTAGGGGTCCCGGTCCATCCGGGGACCAGCCCTGGCTGAAACGTACTGGTGGTTTAAACCACCAGGACACCCTGGCCTGGAGGCACTGCACAGCACTGCGCGGCAAGCTTTTCCTAACCGCCAGAGGAGCACTTTTTTAAGTCTTTTTTATGGCTGGTGCTTGCTTTGGTGCCGCCAGCCATTAAGGTCCCGTAGGCCCGAGGCCCAGACTTTTCGGAGTAGGTGACGAGCAAATCTCCACAAGGCTGGGGCCGTGTACTAGCGGCTTACGTTCTAGCGTACCTCCCCTTTCCCCAACCA